TTGTTGTCAGGATCATTTTAATATAAAAGAAGACATGGACAATTTTGTGCGTTTTTCATTGATGGGAGGTCCTGTTAAATTGAAATCAAGTGTTGTGCCACACAAATTTGATTGCCAACCGGATCGAAAACGTGCTGCAAGTGAACAATCTCCATCAGTTGCTGAAAAGAGGTGTCGTCGAGCAGAAATAGCTGACATCCTAGCTGATCCTGGTTGTTCATCCTGGTCGGAGTTTTCAGGAAGCAAAGAAAATGAGACACCTAATGTTTTGGAAACTACAACACTCATTGAAGATGACATAACCTCGAGAAGACCTCGAACATCTCCGTTGCTCCAAACCGATAGTTTGCATGAAAAGACTGAAAAAACTTTTCATAATAGAGGAACCCAAACTGTCAAGATTCACGGAAAACATTTTCGAAGCAAAGGGATTTCTTGTAATCTTTTACCTACAAATGAACAAGCTCTAGTGAAGGAAATGGAAATTTCCAGAGACGTGCCCAGTAAAAAATCGTGCGTCCATATGTTAAAATTTTAACCTTTTAATTAACTAATTCTTCTAATTCTTGATCACTATTCGTACTGTTTAATTATCTTGTATGTTATTATTACATTATACTTAATGTTAAAAGGACAAACGTAAATGTAAAGTATAGTGTTAATTAATTAACATTTCTAGTTTGTCAACAAGTAACACACGATTAATGAGTTATTTTAACTTAAAATTTTGAGTGGACTTTCTGGGACATGTGAAAAATGTCAGATTTAACATTTTATTTTTTACAGTGTGGCTACATCACCGATAAAAATTTCAACGCCAAAGATGTCAACGCAGTTGAAATGTTCCAGTGGGGATACAGCTTCAACTGTAATTTCTTCACTCGGTACAACGTTTTCAAGTGATTGGGAACCTCATACATCGGGAAGAGAAGAAGAAATGGAATCCATAAATTGTGAAGAAATGCAAGTCAAGAGTTTGACGATGACAAATTATTTTATCAGTAAAGATTCGAAAGGCTTTATTGGAATTGAAAATAACTGTTCTTGGATAATTGATCTTTTATGCAAACATACCAAAATTCGTCCAAATGATGTGAAACTGACTCTGATGAAAATAAAGTTAGATGATACTTTCAAAAGATTAGGAGCTCAATTTGGACTCTCTGCCGCTCGAGCAGGACAAATATTTACAAAAACCGTACCCCAGCTAGCTGAAACGTTGAAAGTATTAATTCATTTTCCACCAGCGATGAATATTAAAAAAGTTTTACCTATTCCTTTCCGTGCTAACTATAGCAACGTACAGTCAATCTTAGATTGCTTCGAAATTGAGATTGAAAAACCGTCTGATCCCTTGAAACAAGCTCTTACATGGTCTGAGTATAAAAAAGGCAATACAATCAAATATATGATATCTTCATCACCTGATGGAACAATCAATTTTGTTTCTACTGGTTATGGCGGAAGAATATCTGATATACATTTATTTGAACAAAGTGGAATTATGGACAAACTTCCACAAATGTGTGTCGTTATGGCTGATCGAGGATTTAAACAAATCCAAAGTGTATTGAAACAAAAGAACTGTACACTCATTCGTCCACCAAGTGTGTCGGCTAATGAGAAACCGTCTAAATCTGAGGTCTTAGAAACAAAGCGTATTGCAAGCTTACGAATTCATATTGAGAGAGAATAGAGTAATAAGAAGAATGAGAGAGTACAAAATATTGACATCACATTCGTGTATCCATCACACCCTGATACCTATTATGGATGATATTGTTGTAATTGCTGCAGCACTTATTAATTTGCAATCACCAATAATAAAGACATAAATCATCACATTTTGTATATTTCTTTATTTTGCTCTTGTATTTCTTATATTATTGAAGTAAATTACATTTTCTTTATAAACCACCATACAGTTTTGGAAATATATGATTTTTCCAGAAATCCAAAGCACTTGTTATAAGTTCATTAACATATTCTTTGTCATAATAGTCACAAATTATATTTACGCCTCCTGTTTTCTCAAAATTTGAATCCGCTACGCAGAGATAGCCTTTTGTGACATTTGTAGCCAGCATTTGCAGTTGCATCTGTGCTTAACATTTTGCTTTGATTTGACCATTTGCTACATAATTTTGAACAGTATTTTCTTTTGCTGGACATTTTATTTCGATAATAAAGTCATCTCCTACAGCATCTGGTGAAGCACCCAGTATAGGAAAGGAAGGTAATAATATTAGTCCAGATCTTTTACATTTCAATTTCATTTTTTTTTCTACCTCAGCCAATACTTTTTCCTCTAAGATTTTACCACGTTTCATGTGTATAGTAGAAAAAGTATCAGCAGCACCAATTATTTGTCGCATCAGAGTTCCATCACTTGTTTTACAATGAGCTGCTTCTAAGATTTTTGACGCTGTTATTCTGCCATATCTCAACTCGTGCCAGAGTAATGAATCACTCTGATCACGAGTGGAACATTCTGCTAAAGAGCATAACCGGGATGTGAGTCGAGTACTCGCAAATGCGAAAAAATCCTGAGCAGATTGCTGTCCTGTACTTTTAAATTCAATTAAAAGCTGATGTATCGACAAACACCCAACCTCGCGTTCCTTTAAGGAAATATAGATCCTAGTTATTTGACTGTCGAGCTGCTTCTCCTCAGCTATTTTCAAGAAATCTTCGAAAAATAATTGTCCAGTGTTAGTTGCAGAGGAAGATGCATCAGTTTTTTTGGTAACGCGAATTTCACCAAACTCTTTCACTTGAATATATTTTTTTA